CTTTTTATTTTCCCTATCCCAGTTAATGACACACAACACGGGTAAGCAATAGCATAAATAAAAATGTCAACCTGGTGGGGAGGCGGAAGGGCTGCAGGCTGGGAGAGGGCCTAGGACTTGGGTTCAGGTATCCGGTCGTCCAGTCTGTTCACTAGCCAGCCTGGGGGAGTTTAGGGTCTTTTTCTGCTGCGCGTTGCTGGTGGTGCTGCCGCAAGAACCTTTTATGACTTTCAGTGAGGTGAAGTATGTGAATATCTTCTCCAGTCACCCCTTTTTGTGGGCGATTCCTTGGCATACTTCAGGTTAAAATGGGTGAAAATATTGTTGGTTCTGCGTTGCTATTCAACATCCCACAATTCCCAAATGTTTCCTAACATCAAAATGAATTAGTGGAGGACACTGCTCATTCAGCCCCTTGTTCTGGTTATTTTTGGAAATGTTTTCCTTCCTGTTTCATTCCCCTAATTACTGTGCAGCTTTGGCTTTATAAGGAGACATCTGTAAAATGGTGAGCAGCTAGTCTCAGATGTGGGCTGTGTTGCAGTCACATAATGGAAAATAAATGTATGAAAACGGGAACTTGGAATAAAAAAAATACACACGCCGTGCAGCTGTGTTGGAAAGATCATTAGGGGAAGCTTAAATACGAAATACTTCAACTCTCGCACACTTAGACCGGGTTCAGTCAAACTCCATGTGGTAGAGAGTCCACAGATAGAAACATTTGCTGGGACTTTGTGCTGCTCTCACAAGCCTCACCTCGCACTTCAGCGTGCGAGAGACGGAGCAGCCCAGTATATGCCTTACGATGCCCCGTATCTATGTTTATGCTTGTCGGGACTTGCGCATTTTGTTATTTTACCGATTATGGAGATCGCATTTAACTAAAATCCTGGTAGCAGATCTCTTGTTGCCCAAAAAATGGGCAACACATTTGTATGCACCAAACAGGCTCCAGGTGTTAAGTCTCACTGTATGTCCTGCTTTGTCTTGTGGACCCTTGGTTCAGAGGTCTTTCCTCCCAGACTTGCTGCAGGACCTCGGAGGAGCACTAGCTGGCTGAAGGCATCTCCCTTGTGCACGTTTGCGAGGAGGGAAATTTCAGAGCAAGTAAGTGCTGGACAAAAATGCCAAAACAGTAATACCACCTCTAAAGAAAACCTACCAAGGTGTGAGCCTTTGGTGTTTCAGCAAGTAACAGCTGCTGCTTGCAATGCAAGTAACCGGTACAGCAGATCTTTGAAGTGAAAGCTGCTAAATCACTAGAGCCCCCTCTTAGTTTTAATTTCCTCCCCGCCTCCACAGGAGGGAGGAATCACTGTGATTTGCCCAAGGCCACGCTGCAGGCTTGGATTCCGCTTGAGGGGTCTGCCCCAGCAAAGGAGGCTGGTATTTCTCACCACTGGGCCATTTCAGAAGAGGTGTTGCCTTCACTCCTTGCGCTGTGGCGAGGTGACAGGTGACAACCCTGCAAGGCCTGTGTCGTCAAGAGGTGAGTTCCGATGAACAGCAGGGTCGGTGGCAACACCATTAGCCGACAAAACGTGATGTTGGAGAGTCAGTTGCCAAACTTAACTTAGAGGAGTAGCCCTTCTGTTGCAGGCTTTGGGCGAACTGTAGTTTCAGCCTCCCTGCGTCCGAGTGCTTTTGTCAGTGCCCGGCAGCCCCCGCTGGAGCTGCACGCTTGGGCTTCTGCCCCTCTGCCCTCGCGCTGCCAGGGGAGCGGCCGCGCCGGGTAAGGTGAATTTCACTGAACAGGTGAAATTCAAGAACCGTGGGGTGCTGCCTCAAACACTGATCTTGTGGCTGAGAGGAAAACGCCAGCTCCCAAACGTGGGAGGAACGGGAGAGAGAAATAGCCCTGGGTTTTCTGCCATTTGATTTAATTCTGCTCTCCAGTTGCATAACCTGGGCCCACATGCCAGGCCGCAGGAATGTGTTTTTGTGTGCTACTCCTGCGTAGTTACCGGTCCGCGATAACGCCAGGCACGGGCTCAGCCATGGCTCTGGCGCAGCTGCACGCCTGACGCAGACCAGCAGCAGACACGCGGGAGCGGTGGTGAGGAACTGCAGTGCTGTGAGCACAGCGAAACGCTTTCCTACTTGCAGGCTGGGGCTGGAACATCTGCACAAGGCCATGCGTCCAGGGATAATCCCCGGTCAAGGAGCTTCAGCTTTGATGTTTCCTTGTCACATTTTAGTACTCCATCCTCAGAGACTTCAAAAGAAAATGAGTAGTAAAGACATTTCTTGAATATAAATCTGAGTGCCTAGGAAAAGTGCATTGTCAGGTTGGGAACATTCCTGCTTTCTGTATTATTAAGGCTTAGCAGTTGTTACTGACTGAGCATCTCTATGAGCTGGCCCACAAAAAAATAATGCCAGAAGTGTCTACACTTTCTCCCGGGCAGCTGGGATTGCAGAAACGCTCCCCGCGACTAATACCATTTGCAAATCCATGGTGCGTTCCCTGATGCAGGAGTACCTAGAGCTGGCTCTGCCCACATCTGAGAAGCTTCTTGTCTGGGGTCTTTGCTTCAGGTCCATTTCTGGAACATGGTTTTCAGCAAGGAAATTCTTTTGTGACTCCATTTTTCCACCATGGTTGCATGACGCTTATTTATGGCTTACCTACAATTGCTAGAAGTGAATGGGGTGACCAAAGCAGCAAGGGATGTTAGTCTGGCAATTTCTTCATGAGAATCTGGGTTTAAAAAATCCAGCTTTTAGCTGTTAGTGGAACACTATCATTTTCCATTATTAAAATACCCCTCATGCCTACCTGCTGCATGTGGGGGCATGGCTTGAGATTCAAGACTGCAGCTGGTGTCATCCTTATTGTGAGAGTCTTTGATAGCTTCCTTCTCTGCTGAACAATATCGCCAAATTCAAAGCATCTGCTCAGATTCGTCATCACTTTCAGGGATTGATTTGCAATTCTGAGTTTGGCCAGACTTGAGTTTCGCAGTCTCTGTACTGGCCAGGGTTGTTCCTTGTATGAACACCGAAGCTCCTTCCTTGTGTCCTGTGCACAGCAGAGAGGATTTGGACAAGCTTCTGGGGCCTGTGATCACCAAGCAAAGTATTATGTTGGCCAGTGCCAAGTTTCAGGTGATTAGCCTGAGTGCTTTTGAGCTATTTCAGCTTTTGAAAAGTCCACCTTCACTTAGCTTAGCAGGAAGCACTCTTGTTATAGTTAGAAAAATCAACTGGCACAGACATTTAATAAAGAAAACTAACATAGAAAGTGTCACCTTTGAGGGTGGCTGGCTAGAGCAGAGTGTCTCAGTAAATTGGATGAGCAGTTATTTTCTATTGTGCCACGTACCATATGAAGTCTCCCCGATGCTAGCTGGCTTTAACAGCATGTATTTGCTTTCATTTCTGGGTATCATCATTTCCTGGTCTTTTCCCTTTTAAGTATCACAAATGCTTCAATTATTTTCTTGTATTTACCTGCTAATAGCAGAAATGCTTTGAAGCACCTGGGGTAACTGAAAAGTTTCTGCAATTGGTTTCACTTAATCTGATAAGAAAAAGTAAGATTACCTTGTTTAACCACATCTCCTTTTCAAAGTCTACGCAGCTGGAGTCTGTACTTAGAAATATCCTGAGAGCATTCCGGAGTTCCAGAAAGAAGTGCGAAACTTTATTTACTCTGTGTTGAGCTTTGCTTCATGCATGAATGCATCTGCATGGTCATGTGCTCCTATTTACACTCAGCATTTTAGCAGAATTATTTCATATTTGAGCTGGGTGTTGGTTTGAACGTCCTACATATTTTCAATGGTATAGGACTCCTGTATTACTTATCAGGAGTTAAGTATCTTGCCACAACCAAGTACACCTTCTCACTTTCCAGCGCCGGCCTCTGCTACAAACAGGTTGCTGGAGCGCGTGGCCCTGCGGAGCAGTACTTTTAGTAGTTCCCAGGTGTCACACTCACAACTAGCAATAGGACTGGAGAAGTAATAGCCCCTGGAGAGGCAGAGGAGGGTAAACAGTACTAACAAAACTGTGAAATGTCTAATATAGCTATGTTCAGGCTCTGGTTCTGAGGCTGAAGATGCTTGACAAAAGCTAGTTAATCAGTGGGGAAAGATCTGTTCCACAGATGTTCCACAGCTCACTTCATGGAACTGTAAGTTCGGAGAAGCAGCATAATGGGACAATAACAGGACTAAGCAAAAGCATAACAAATTTGGAACTTGTGTAGGAAGAAAGGATCTTGGGGTGGTGTTTGGTATTTAAAAATCTACCTGCAGTGAGTACAGTGACAACTCCTATGCTTTACAGTCTTTCTGGAGTCCTTGCTGAATGCGTTTATGAAGTAGCTCCTTTGTCTTGTCAAGCGTCATAGTTACTTTCATCTTACTGCTGAGTGACATGATGATCTCTATCATCCTGTGACATCATCCTGCACCAGCAGCATCAGCACTGAGAGCAACAATATTACAAAGTTTGCATACAACTATTTATACAAACTTACTTGATCCCAAATACATGTACACAAACTATAGCAGCACAACAAAATTCATTTTGCCATATAAAATTTTCTGTTTGAAGCAGAACTGAGTGTCATCTTCCCAATATTGTGCACCTCATGCAGGCACTGCCAGGTCAGTGAAACCTTTGGGTGGTCTCTTCCTACACACATCATTTAGAGTTGGCTTTTACAAAAGATCCTGAAGGATCTGGCTGAGAACATGCTAAGTAAGATATGATGGGAAATACCATTTTAGCATCACAAGGCACCAGTAAAAAAAAAAAAATATCTGTGTCCCCACTGTACATCAATCAATCACTGAACAGTCTAATTGTACGTCTACTCTGGTTTATGTAGTCTATTGTTGTGTAGTACTTGGCTACTTACTGCGGTCCTATTTCAAACTCTACAGTGGACTGTCTATTTTTTATCCACCTGTGAGAAACAGAAGCAACAATACTGGTTCTGTGTTGTGAAAACCAACCTGGAATAAATAAAATAAAGAGAAAATGGATATAGCCAGAGAATCCAGTTTAATAGGCTGCTATACAGGAAGACTTTGTTCTATGATACATTCTGCAAATAGTTTTCAAATGTTACTTACAGATACTGTATAAAATAGATACCAGTTTTATTGATTATACATCAAGATTCTTTGATAATTTAACCTGCTACTAAGTAATATATAAGATGTGTGATGGAAGGTGAGCAACACTTTACAGGACAATCTAAATCTAATAAATAGATCTGTATCTCACCACCAGATTGAGCCACTGCTGTGCCATCATTAGACTACAGAGCAACCACAAAGTCTCACACGCTGGTACATCTGCGTACAGTATAATAGAAGATGAAAATCCTCAAGCAGCTCCTCTTCCTTGCATGACATTTTGGCTTTGGTCTGTATAGTAATACTGTGTGTGCTTGTTTGGTCCATGCAAAGCTATGAACAGTGTCTCGTTAAGAAAAAATAGAATTTGAATTGAAGAGGTATAGTTTCAGTTAATTTAAGATTAAAATGAAGTATCTCTCTGATCACAGAAAGGTTTGTACCTGCTCTTTCTGTGCATCTATTTGAATGGGGGGGGAAGAAGTAGCTACTTAAGTGTTTTAAGCAACATAGCTCTTGGTATCCAGGCTCTACATCGGATACTCACACCGTTAGCCAAAGAGGTTAGCAAGGACTGTACTTCTGTTACAGCATGTTTGGGAAAATACAGGCCAGGGGGACAAAAAAAATAAAAAAACCCAAGATGTAAATCTGGCACTTCTTTACCCACAGGCTTATCACACCATTAAGAACACTTTCACTCTGGAATATACAACATGGCAGCTGGGTTAAAACTGCAAACTGCATGTTTTCTATTGTCACAGGAATCAATAGCATACTTGGAAAAAAAAAAAATGCCGCTGTTTCACTGAATTGCAAGCAGTGTGCACATATGCCAGGTTTACAAAGAGATTTCCCATTAAAACAAACTTCAACAAAAACAGACCACGGGAAAACAAACTGCATATTTAGTAAAATACCATTGGCACCACTCGCCAAAATGTACGATGCTGTAGTTCTACAGTCCTTACAGAGGAGAGGGTGTGATCTTCACTCGAACATTTCGTAATGGCGTGTTTGCCTTACACGGGGTATCATATCGATAAGCAACCTGCAGAGGAAAGCACAGGAGTGTTGATGCAGACACTCAGGAAAGCCCTGGAACTGGGGTGTCCTCTTTACTTACCAATATTAATTTATTTTATGACTTAAAAAGAAGTCAAATGTAGTAACAGTCTTATCTTGCTTTCTCCTGATCAGAATTAATTCCACCCCACAATTAATTCTGCCCAAAAGGGAGCGTAAAACGAACGGCGTAGAGGGGGGCTCTCCTTCGAGCTGCCGTGAGAAACTGAACTGCACAGCAGCAGCCGCTGCTGGCTGGAGAAGCCATGGGGGGATTAGTGGGAAAGGGACTGTTGTAGCAACCTGTTTCGTGCCAGGCTGATGTAAGAAGGTGTCTAACGGTAGCGGAGAATTGCAGCAGTTTCACAAGCTGTAAAACGGGGTAGTTGCCAAAACAGAATTTAGTTTTATCCTTCATTAGCCTTCGTTGTGTCTTAGTGACACAATGGGTGAGCGCACCGTTGAGCAGACTGACAGCATATATGTAGCATGAGTTTCAGTGCCTGTACAAAGTGTTTTTAATGCTGTTTGAGATGTTTATATAAATACTTTTGTATGGATTTGCCTCTACAGTTTTCCAGAACAGTTAATTTTATAATGGAAATAGTGATTATAGTAATTTTTCCAAGAATGGTATTCCCTATTAAAATGTTAATTTAATTTTCCAAGTTTAAAAAAAAAACCCACACAGCTTCCAGATGATGGCTTACTGCAGCCTGGCCAAGGTCTGCTTCTCAACAGGCAAGATTCCAATTAACTGAGATGCTACATCTCCCCTTTGCTCTTATGGCAGAAAGGGGGATAAAATGCAAAACCCTTAGTTAGATTCCATGCTGCCAAGGGAAATTGTGGCAGCAACGAAGCGCATGGCAGAGCTTCATTTCATTTTATTCTATTTATTTCTGATGTCATGAATCAAGACAGTATCTTAAAATTCAATAGAAACAACATTTGAAAGACGACTGGCTAACCTTCAGTTCAGAAGTTGCTATAGAGTAGGGCTCGGATGGAAATCACCCAGCATTCAAGACTGTTCTTTAAACTTGGGCACCTTTAACCTAGCCTTTCTTTGGCAAAAAAACAGTCCTTAGAAACGTGCCATAAAAGCAACAGGGACTGGTTTTCTCCAAGATTTGTGGTTATTTTTCAAATATTTCAAACCTTGTCTTTCCCAATTCAAGTATACAAGAGTCTTCTAAAATTATTCCAATTTCTTGTTAAGTCCTGGCTTCTTAGCAGCTGATATGAAACACCATCTTTTATCCCTTTCCACACACTCTGCTTCAGTACTGGCAGCTAGTCTAGTAAATTCCAGTGACTGATTTTACTGGAGTTACACAAGCCTTTAAGAGCTATGCCTTATTACATTAAACAGACAGCCCATCTGCTGTAGGTACTGAAACACCTGCTAGCAGGAGATACTCACTTGATTCCGTAGGCAAATATTGTAAGTCCAATTAAAACTCCTATACTGCCATCCAGATACCAGACAGAAGAATTGTGTTTAAAAACTTCTGCACTAAGGAGGATGGAAAATCCCATTATTCCACCTACAAGAGAGTTGAAACCTAGAAGAGGAAAAAAAATAATTAAAGGAAGAACCAAATCTCAAGGAATTTACTTTAACCATCTAGGAAGAGGTAATCTGTAGGGAGACAAGGCATTACCGTACCAGTGCCACCAGAGAGGAGCACAGACCCTTGTGAGAGGTTACGCAGCAGCACCTATGTACTCCTGCACTGCGTTAAGGAGAAGGCGGTGCAATTCGTTCACATGCGGTTAGCCAGAGGCCTTTGCCACGCTTCATTCCAACAAATAAACCACGGAATAGTTGGTGCCTGACCAGTGTTTAAGAACTCTGTCACTTGTCCTGGATTATATAAATAACTTACATTAATTTCCATATAACTGTATGTCTTGATTCGGTCAGTCCCAATTTTTTTCATTCTATGTTTAGTTCCAAATCCCAATTCTAGCTGCTGTTTTTTTTATTTCTAGTTTATTTCACAGGGCTTCCACCTCTTGATGCTAATTTTCCAGACAGCAATATTCCTTCAAAATACTGGACCGGCTCCATGTTGACTCTGACAGTCAAGCACTTCTCTCTCTTGTAGCTTATCATCATGAATGAAGTGTCTTTGAGCTGTAAAATAGTGGCTGGCTGGCTGGCTGCAGCCCTGAGTACAACTGCTGTAGCCCAGCTATCTTCCAAAGAAGCGCTTCACAACGTATGTCCCACTGCAGCATGTGCAAATATCCCATTAGAACTTCCAAGGCCACTTCATAAGGTACCCAAAGGCTCTCGCTTTCTCTGAAATGGAGCAAACTGGAGTGCAGTATACCCAAGCAGCTCATGAAAAAGAAAATGGTTTGGCACAGTAACGTTTCAAAGACTTTCTCTTGAAGATTTTTACCCCATTCCATACAATTATTTTCATGTATTTGGCACTTATAGCTTAGAGCTGCATACACTGTTGAATGCATTAGGAAAGACATACGGGATAATCCTAGGAATATTTTCCATTTATGCCTTAGCCAGGAGTTTCCTATCTGTTATTCACAATTTTTATTAACATCCTTTTAGATTCCTCTTTCTTTTTTAAACCCTTTCTCTCTGTCTCCAAGATTGTCCCTTCAAAATTCTCCCAGAGCTTTTGGAATAATTAATGCCATTTTTCCTTCAGCTCTTGGTTGATTGGTTATCGTTTGGGGTTTTTTTTAAAGTTATTACTTGTGTTCATTTTTTTCCCCCAAGTTCCCTTTTTCTGATTTTTTTTTTCTCAACCCAACAGACGTCAACTATTGTTTACAAAAAGAAGTGTCACTGATAATGCATTCATTTGGTAGATATATATACTATTTAACTTAGTTAACAAATGCAAAATTGAACTTTAAATATTCTATACTGCTTGGTGAGTCAACTCTAGTCAGCTGCTGCTTATAGTACTTAGCTCGTTTTCTTCCAATTCCCCATGATGGCCAACAACCACATACATGACACTCCTGAATGTCTCCTTTGATCTAGACCTCTCACATCCATTCCTTACCTAAATCACGTTAAGCGTCTCTGAAAGGTGTAGCTAAAAATTGACCTTTCCTAGGTATGCCCACAGCTGAAATACTTGTATAAACCATCAGTTTTGATTAAGATTCACCAGATCCCTGTCGGTAGGTACTTAAATGCAAAGGAACCCCTGGCACGGAAAAGCACGCATAACTTGGCAAGTCTGAGGCAGAACGGGGCATATAAAGGTTTCGGGCTTCCGGCCCTGCAAAGAAAAGGGGGCTGGGGGTTTTTTTTGCACTGTGGCAGTGCATTCTACAATTGGTATCACAGGCATTGCATGTAAATGCCCGATTATTGGATCAATTATACCAGTATAGTTAAACCGTATAGACACAATGACTTTGTCAGCACTCTAGTCTAAAAGAATCCTGATCCTTTTTTATTCCCAGACAATATAATGTATACTGCTAACACATGTTGATGAAATATGTTTATATATAAAAAAAACATGAAGAATATTAAGTACAAATTAATTTAAACTATAAATTTAAACCAGTGTTACTCCCCCTGCTCCAGCTCACGTAAGAATCCATCAGCACGATATGCGAAAGGCAGGAATAATAAATTTTCTTGCCATTATTGGCTGATGGTTCCAAATGATCTAAAAGCTACTTACAAAGGAAATTGTTTTCTCTTCCTGACTGTCATTCGGTCAAACCTTTCCTTGCTGGTGTGGCAGGAAATAATGTAATGGCTGCAGGTATTAATGCAGACACCACGTGCTGTGCGTAAGGCTAGCACAGGAAAAAACAGGTGGCTAAATCTGGGAAGGAAACAGGTATCTAAAGCCTACAGGAAAGTTGGCTGACATCACCTAACTGTCGCATCTCTGCATTTGTCATTCATCTGCATTTGAGATGTTACAAAATTGAACATAGGAAGTGGCTGGTTTTAGTATCCAAAAGGCCACGAGCTTTCGCTATAAACAAATTGCACAAATAACATTTTGCCTTATTAGGATTCGTACATTTAGGCTTTAAAGAGACAGTGTTGCCAAACTCTACTCTAAAACAAAATTATTCTTTTAAAAAATCATTAATAGAGGTTGACATATATGGGAGAAAATTTTCTGTTTGGAAAATAAACCTATTTTTCAGGAAGAAAAATGTGTGTTCTTGTTACTCAAAGCAGTTTGTTGCTCTACAGCCAATGATCACAGGGGGTAAATTAGCAGGAAACAGAAAACACTAAAAAAAGATATGCAAGGGAGTGCTAAATCTGTCTCAGCTGCTGAATCACATCATCTCCTCCTGATTGTTAATAAATCAAGTATAAATGAAAACATATCTTGTGAAAGAAGATATTTAACCACACATGGTAAGATCAGCCTCCTACATTTTCTAAAGTACTTCTGAAGGAGAGAGAAGAAGATAGATAAAAAACAGACCGAGATAGTTGTATGCTTTATTCCCTAATTTTTTTAATCAAAGAATGAGCAATCTCCAGCTCGGAAGCAATACAATTAGCCAAGGATGTAATTATGGGAGAAGAGATTACTGTGTCATACAGGAGACCAGTTCAGAGCCAGAGTTACTCAGGAATTTTTCAGCTAACGTTTTTTCTGAAAAAACTGCTCTGTTTTAAGAACAGGCTACATGTTTTTTTTTAAAGGGAACATTAATCATTTGCCTGCTTAGATACAGTTCTGAAATGGTCAACATGTCCCACTTGCACTCTGGCAGCAAAGGAGTCAGACTCACTGGTCTGTAGTTCCCAGGATCCTTTCCAGAACCCTTTTTGCACGTTGGAGATCTTTTCGTTTCAAAATGTCTGAGGTGGCAGAACCCGTAACAAAGAGTAAGATCACTGAACAGCACGGTCTTTTGGGAGAGAATCGCAAATGCAGGGAGGCAGTAGCTTAGTTGTAGCCCCTGCACTGCTGTTTTGATCCCTTTTTTGCCAATTTTGTATTTAAAATATAAATACTCCATGAGTCTTTATATGTGAGGTGATATAAAATATCACACATCACCAAAAAAAATTTTAGTATGTTTAAATTACTTCAAATAAAGCAACTGTATGTATCCCTAGAGCAAGCTGAAAATTGAATTCCCTTAAAATGAAATCTTTAGCAGAGTAAAATAATTTATGTACCACACTTCATGAATCATTAACACCCTACCGTGTATGTTTACAGAGCATTTCAAACCATCCTGTGCTTGCAGATACAAATCTCTACCAGATTTTAGGGCGCTGCGATATCTCCGCCATTACTGTGGCCTCACTTGTTTGCAGATCCCCGTGACTTTGTGAAGATTCACAAGCTTGAGCCGTGTCAGTAAGAGGCATATCTGGACCTACTTTTAAAACGTGCCTTTAAGCATACCTGCAGGAACAGTCAGGTGTTAGGCACCCGAGCCAAGAGAGCAGTGGCAGCGAGGTCTTCGAAGGATAATGGTGGACGAGATTCACCTTGGGCCAGACGCCGGCAGGGCCAGAGCCGTGCGGGGCAGTAGGCCGGCGAAGGCTTTGTTTCACGTGTGATGCTCCACCGGCTCTACTGAGTGGCAGGAAAAGCACCACGGTGGCAAATTCTGTCTACGGGGGTATGTATGAACGATGGTCGTGATTGCTGCCCAAGGCAGGGCAGCGTTTTCTGCAACAGACCTGCTTCGTTTTACCGGTGGGGACGAAACTGTTTACCAGGCATAGGCAGTGAGGATAGATGTGACTTAACCAAAGCTATATAAATTGGTGTCATACTCCCTGCTCTGCAGTCTCACCTCTGCATACTACACACGCAATTCATTATATTCTCTACCTCTAACTCTGTATTACTGCTTACTATCCACACGTTAACTGTTTGACTTCCACCAGACATACATACCCATTTCAGCTGAGGCATCTATGTTAGGATGCTACTGGTACTACAGACTGTTCAAGGGTTTGGGGTTTTTTTTTTTCCCCATTTCCCAGGGTCCTTCTTATTTCAATGCTCTTTCACAGCTATCATCATGCGGGGGTCACCTGTATCCTCTGTGTCTAAAATATTCCCTGGAAGAGCCTATAAATGCAGCAGGATCAACTTCACACTCACCATCAGTTATCAGCGCTCTGCTTGTAAGGACCTTTCCCAGCATAAATTTGATTACTGCCAAGACAGTGCAAAGGATTCCACTTAAAACGGAGACACTATAGAGAAAATCATCCTGAAAGAAAAAATGTCAGACATTAGTATGTCTTCTGGTCATGCCCCATATATTAAATGACAAATAGTACTCATTACTGTGCAATGATTTGTGCCACGGAAGAATACAACCTGAGAAAAAGATTTCCCAAGTTATGACTTCCATGACAGCTGGTGCTTATTTTGCTTATATTGCCATCTCTAATTGCTTTTGCAAACCTAGTAAATGACAGGTCCAACCAGCAAAGTTTGAACTGACCCAAACTCCTCAAAATCAAGAGGTTATATACCTGCAGGGCTGACTGCAGACTGCCAAGTAATCTAATGCCTAATGCAATCAGTAATAAAGTCCCCACATGCAGGATAAAGGCTTGAGAGTAGAACCCCACTTACCAGACCTTTGTTGGTTTTTCATGTGAGAATTAACCATTTAATATTGTTTCTGATTCTGTGCTTGCTTTGGTTTTGTTTGGCTTCCTTCTTTTAAGGCAAAGTCTGGTCCAAGCTACAGCTATAAGGCTTCTGATACTGATGTGCAAAGTCAGCTTTAGCTCTTTCTTAGAAAACAAATTTTCCGTGGACTTGCATTTCACAGCTACAGAAATATCCACAGTGCTTCATTTGAATTAATAACATAGGCTCCCTCAGCAGAAAGCTGCATGTCTATGTAGGGCAAATAAGAGTAACTAGTTCTTGTTTAACACACATTCTGTAAAAAGGTCGTCTGGAGGCACCTTCCTCTTTCTGCTATTTCGTGTTTGATCGGGGTGAATGGAAACACTCCCGGGTGCCAAAACACAGTCACTGCAACAAGGTGCCTAACGGGAGTCCCTCTGCCTTCCGCCCCCGGAGGTACGCCAGCCCACGGGCTATGCAGAGAAACCCAAGCGAGCTCTTAGCGTGCTTGCCTGCCATCTAACCACAGAGCTTTGAAATAGATTAATTTATTTCTCTTAACAGAAGCTTTAATTTAAGCTGTTGCAACATCAGTTCAAGTAAAGAAAATAGCTTTTTTTCTCTGCAGGTTTAAGTGGGCCAGTGCCATTGGGACCTTGTTACTGACTAAAACACTCTGGCAAAAATCCCTGTTGATAGTAAACGTTGTCATGATGATTCATCACCAGCTCCATCCATTTTCATTATTTTAGCAGCAATTCAAAACCCAAAGAAATCAAAAAATTATTTTGAAAGCTGCTGAGGAAGATACTGGGAATTAGATTACTGGTATAATGTACTCACATCCCTAAATAGATCATTCAATATATTTTTATACAATTTTTTTATGTCATATGATTTTCAAAGTCTACTTCATTCACTCTCGGTCATGAGCTCATTCTCTCTAGCCCTGGTAATATTAAGACAAAACACACTGAGGGAAAGAGAGTAAAATAGAAGCAGTGAGAACACAGAACTCAAGCACTGGGTAAAGGTAGGATAAAAAGCATTTGCAAAATCATTCTAATAAAACGACTGGAAAATATACAGGCAATTTTAGAGTGCTAGGGAAGGACTAAGTAAGAACTGGGAATATTTGCTTGCTCTCAGCCTAGCAAGGAAAGTTGGGAGTTTTCAGAAGATATGAAATGACAACAAAGCTCCAAAACTCTGGAGAAGCTTTGCAAAAAGCACTTGAAATTTGAGATCCGTGTCAAATTCATGCCTCTAAATTTTGCGCATCTTTCTCAAAAATATATATTCACCACGCCCAAAGACTTAATCTGGATAGCCTGACAAATTCAGATTGGTCTTGAGATTTTAATCTAATCTCATCTAATATTTTATTAGATACTTTACCTAGTATTTAATATACAGCATACATGTAAGACTTCAGAACAATCTGAAGAAGAATGATATGCTGCTAGTCACCTCTGTGCCAACCTGCCGGGCTTCCCACACTATTATACAGAACACGAGCTTCCCATAGATGCATGAGTTTGGTTTTTTACTTTAATAATTTATAACAGTAAGCAGGGCAAGCAAACCTGCTCGTGATGCTAAGAGCGTGAAGGCCCCTCACTCACTAAATGGTGTGTGAGGAGTAGAAGAAAAGAGCAATGCGGAGGGGCGTGCACACTGGCTGTGCTCCCAGCCGTGCACAGGCCAGTGGCTAGTCCCAGCCTTCCCCAGGCAACGTGTGTTTGGGCGAGTGCTCAATGGAGCAATCGACAGTTCAACACCGCGTTTCTCTTGCCTCTCACTTGCCAATGCGCAATGACTACATGGGATCTCTTATGTCATCATCACCCCACGGACTCTCCAAAAACTCTCAGGCTCTCCTGGGAGCCTAATGGCTCCCAGGCATCCCTACCTCTTCTCTTCGTCTTCCTCCTCAGCAAAGCAGAAGTTTTATCATTAGCACAGAACTGAGCATTGTAGACCCAGTGCAGGTGACAGCATAAGTTTTGATAGCAAAGTAAAGTAATTTATTTCATTTCACATGTTTGGAAAAAACTACAAATCCCAATATGAGAAATTTTAAAAATTATTTATACAGATGCTCAAAAGTCCAAGTATTTAATTCAGAATATTGAAAATGTTATGCTTTATTTCCTGTGCTACAGTCCAAGATTTCATCCTGTGCGTGACACTTTATTTTCAGCTGATTTGTTTTTTTCTTGTCATGGCATGTACTATAGATTTTTGAGATGAATTCAGATTTTTTCCTGCATGTGTCACTAAACTCGTGGTATGTAGAAATGCATCTTGCCACTTGTTCTGGCCCTACGGTTGTGATCAAAAGTAGTCTAGAATCCAAGAATGATTTAAATGTGATACGGAATTCTGAATCAACTCATAAAATGAATGAGCCACCTTTTTATAGAGGATTCAGGAACTAGAAATTCTTCATAAGTTCGGAGGGGGGGTGTTTAATCGAATCACAGAAGACAAGCTCATTTTGTTGCTAATACTAATCCAATAACCACTGATAATGCAGAAGACAACAAGTCATAGCTCCTTTGTTGTCATAGTGGACACAGAGGGGGAAGAAATTTAAAACTCCCTCTCTTAATGCCAACGCCTCAGCAGTTTCTCACTTTAGACTGTGCCAAACAGATTTTCAGAAGACAATATTTCTTCTTTCATCTCTTAAGCTCCTAAACCTGAATAATATCTAAAAATCACGCTCTCCAGTTGTGTGCAGCTTTTTGCAACAGCCACGGGGAGGCGGCAGATGCCGCAGGAACTGAGCGCACGACGCGTGAGGACAAAACCGAAGAGAAACAAATCTCTTTAAATTCGCTTTCCTCACTACTTTGCTGTGCTTTCTGGGTGTCCAGGCACCCAAGAGCTGAAAGAAGCAGAGCGAGGCTGCTTGCCAGGAAGAAGATGGTTTTGCAGATGTAAGAGATCAGCCCAAAATACGCGGCGAGGCCGAGCAGCACGGACAGCCCCTGCGGCGCGGCGCCTGCGCAGGTGAGGCGGTGACAGGAGAGACACGGCTCAAAACGCTGCCTTGGCACTACTGGGCTGCAACGATCAGAAGCTGGAACCAGTTTAGGAGAGTGGCCGGCTGCACCGGTACGCTACGAGTCAGGACGTCCACGGTGGGAAGCGACGTGCTGAGAGAGACTCAACAAGTTACCTGAGGGGGGGGGCTGGGGGTTAAGCACCTGGGCTGGAGCTGGGGCCACGGGAGGCGGCCGGCCGACGGGACCCGGCACTGACACGTGCGCTTTGCTGCAGTGCTATGGGCTCCGAAGAGTTAAACCCATCGTGCTGTGGCTGTGAAATGCTTCCCATTATACTAAGTCAATCTTCAGAGAAATTAAGAAAAGAGAAGCCATAATGGAGATCTAAATTAATAAAATAAGCCTGGCCATCTGGCACCATCTCCCTCCGGATCTTCCCGCAGTCCTGCCCCCTTTCTACCCCTTGCCTTCCCATCTGACGGTCATTAAGAGCACGAAGCACATCTAGCCAGACTCACTGTACACGTCCTTGGTGTTATTTTAATTAAAGCAGCAGCAAATTGTGACAGATGATAAAAATCTAAATTCTGATCATTTCCATATGATAAAAGCTTCTCAGCATGGTAAATAAAGCTCTTTCCTTTTCCATTTCTTTTCATCATATTCCCTCATTACTACTAGACTGTACATGAGACCTTAATTAAAGGACACATATATCTTATTAGATGGCTTCATGTATAAAACAGCCCTGTACATAAAGCGAGGTGCCTATGCTGGACTGCCATCTCATTACACAGAACTCTAATAGCTACAATGTCCCTATTTAAGATTTATTTTATGCAAGATTTTATGCCGTGAAAGTTTCCCAAAAGAAAGCTTTCCTAGAATGCTCTTTTTTCAGTCCTAGGAAAGTAATAATAGAAGTCAGTAGGCAGCTTTCCTCCACTTCATCCAAACGCATTGTCCCCACCAGTGCAGCTAAGAAGAGGGGTCTTCAAAAATGTGACAACAGATCTGTCCTTGCTTTCAAGGATTTCACCAAAAGCAGCAGTAATCTTACAGCTTAAGGGAAATATGTTGATTATGATGTTGTGACTGATCTCTTTCTGAATCTGTTATAGAAACTAAAAAAAAAAAAAAAAAGACGACAACACAGGGGATGCTTCAGTGCTTGGCTTATTAGGAAGGTATTTTAACCCAGTTCCCAGCCTAGTAACTAAATTTCAGCTGCTTTGTGCTCCTAATCTGTTCCTAGAATGCATCTCACTAATTCTAACACTGAAACTTTGCCCTGGTTTCATATATTACAGTCCTTTCACTTCCACTCCTGGGATGTAAAAATGTTTTCATTTCACCTGAAGTGTAGAGTGTTGAGTAAAAAGGCATTCATTGGTATGGGAGGAAGAAGGCATGTTCAGTGTTCCTCCCCAGTGGTCACAACACATAAAATATTATGATTAAAATCTGTGTGTGATCCTCCTCTCTGGCCCTCTTTGGTAGCTGATTCTAGTGCAATCCCAAAACAAGCTGCTTCTCCCACGCCCCAACAGCTACAGGTTTCTTTCCACGCTTCTGCCCTCTCCTCAAGCTTCTCCTGGGAGCCAGCCAAAGG